GTTTTGCCTTCCAGGGGATAGCCTATGAGTACAACAGACTACCGTTCGGCTACTCCCTGTCCCCACGCACGTTCAGAAAATGTGTGACCACAGCGCTTCAGCCGCTTCGCGGCCATGGCATGAGGATTTTATTTTATCTCAACGACCTCATAGTCATGGCCAGGTCCAGAGAATGGGCAGATGTTCCACAAAGCCCAATTGATCTTACACCTAACCAAGTTGGGGGTTTGCGGCCAATTGGCAGAAAAGCAGTGGATTCAGCCCCCATCGAGAGCAAGGTGTACGCCCCCATCGAGAGAGAGGTGTACGCCCCATCGAGAAGGAGGGAAGGCTACGTGCCACTCTGTCAGAGAACAGACAGACATCTCTGCTTCAGGCAGACTGAACGTTGGTGCGAGGAAAATAGTCTAGAGCCTCTGTCCGGTACATTGGGCTTCTACTCTATTACCCTCTCTTCAATAGTCACCATCCTGGGTGTGAAAATGGACGCCCCTCTGACCTTTGAGGCTCACATTAAACAGCTTTGCAAGAACTCCTTTTATCACCTCAGGAATATCGCCAAACTCCGCCCCACACTCACTCTGTCTGACGCCGAAAAGCTAGTCCACGCCTTTGTCTCCTCCAGGCTGGACTACTGCAATGCACTCCTCATCGGGATCCCTAACAAAAGCATCCAGAATCTCCAGTACATACAGAACAGCACTGCTAGGATCCTGATGAGGGTGCGCAAATATGATCATATCACCCCCATCCTGAAATCACTACACTTGCTCCTTGTGGAACTGAGGATCGAATTCAAGGTCTCCCTCCTCACCCACCAGTGTATCCATAGAACTGCCCCTCCCTACCTCAAGGAACTCCTCACCCCTCGTACTTCCTTGCGGACCTCCCGCTCCAGCAAAGCCAATCTCCTCAAACCCCCCAGGACCAAGCTCTGTACTATGGGAGACCGGGCTTTCTGCTAGAACGAGAACCAGACCAGAACGTGCTCCCCGACCACATGAGAGCACCACAGACCGTGAATGCTTTTAAAGGCCTCAAAACCCATCTGTTCAATAGAGCCTTTCCCTAGACCTTTTATTTTATTTATTACTACTATTTTTATTTATTTTTATTGTTTGTTTTTGCTGCTTTTTATTAAATTCTACCTTGTTGTGTACTGTTTTATACTGTTCCATGCTCACTGCTTGTAGCACTTGGGGATTTGAACTCAAATATGAAGTGCGTTATAAATTCAACCCATTATTATTATTATTAGTATATCCTATCTACAGCTAATGGTGGACAAGGGGCTTGCTCATGCCACAGTCAAGGGCCCTTTCTCATTTCTCTAACTCCCCTCCTCGACTCCCCTCCTCGACTCCTATCCTCGAGACTTAGTCCCGCCCACAGGAGATGTGAGCCGAGGAGCCGAGGAGGGGAACCGAGGAGAGAGGAGGGGAAGCAGCAGGCGTTAGAGAAATGAGAACTCCTCTCCTCTGAGCGGTCATTTTAAAGAGACGTCCATTAATGATGACAGGAGGCACAGCAGCCCTCTGTCTGATGGACAGATGTGTTCATGACCACTTATTTATTTATTTTGATTCATTCACAGAGCGGTATAATGAGACAATAACAGGCTACAGATGCGGACACACACACACACACACACACACATATATATATATTTATATTAGGGCTGTCAGTCGATTAAAATATTTAATCGCGATTAATTGCATGATTGTCCATAGTTAATCGCGATTAATCACAAATTAATCGCACATTTTTGATCTGTTCTAAATGTACCTTAGAGGAATATTTTTCAAGTTTTTAATACTCTTATCAACATATGAGTGGACAAATATGCTTTATGCTAATGTTTATTATCATTTGAACAATGACAAATATTCTCATGAATATTAAACACAACAACCTCTGAACATTACAAATATTCGCCTCAATTCAACCTGGAACCTCTCATACAATAATACAATACAAATGGTGTGTGTGTGTGTGTGTGTGTGTGTGTGTGTGTGTGTGTGTGTGTGTGTGTGTGTGTGTGTGTGTGTGTGTGTGTGTGTGTGTGTGTGTGTGTGTGTGTGTGTGTGTGTGTGTGTGTGTGTGTGTGTGTGTGTGTGTGTGTGTGTGTGTGTGTGTGTGTGTGTGTGTGTGTGTGTGTGTGTGTGTGTGTGTGTGATGGATTGTTGGAGCTATGTGCAACTCAAGGCATATGCTCGAACGGGAGCTGCCTGGACGCTGCAATCATGTTGCACTATCCGTGCTGAGTGTGCTGACTTTTCGTACAATGTCCCACTGTCTGGCTTCCTGCATAAAGTCAAGTACTCGGCGTAGTTGTCGGCGAAATGTCGCTCCTCTGTTTTCATTGAAACAGCTCCTTATATCCGTTAGCGCAGCTAGCTAGAACCAGATGCTAACAACAACAATACACGTAAGGTGTGCCCGTTCTCTCTCTCGCGCCACACATACACACACCCTCCCGGTCCTCCCGATGGCCAGTCGGTGCCTGCCAGTGAGCGTGGAAGTGTGGTCTCCCACAAGCGGGCGGCAGGAGCGGGGCTGTCAGCATCAGCTTGTAGATGGTATTTTAAATTCGATGTGCTCTGAAACTACGGGGCGGCCGAGGACAAAAAATACACATGCGTTAATCGCGTTAAAATAATTAGTGGCGTTAATATTTTTTTGCGTTAACGCGTTAACTTGACAGCCCTAATTGTAACCCTAGTTCTTTAAGCACAGGTGAAGCCCTCTATCTAGGGGCCCTGTCTTCCCAATGCCGCTCGCTGAAGAGGGTGTAGGATGACAGTCAGGAGGTGTAGCTGCCTTATATACTGTGAGCCTGCGCGCACATTCAGGTAGGCTCGCCTTGATTGGCTGGCTACGTTTATACAACTTCAGTGTGTGAACGCTCACGTCTCATTGATGAGAGTAGTACCCATAGAGTCCAGTAGAGGGCTCCGCCTGTGCTTATAGAACTAGGGTTACAATACATAACCCCCCGTTTCTACTTCTTACATTTTACTTTAGTTTTAATCTGCATTTGGTGGTGTGTTCATTATTATTTAGAGTCAGTGTGTGCCTATTGGTGTATCCAACATTTCCTGGTCTTCTGTAAAGAAGAGCAACCAATGTGAATATCTCAAACTATGCCACTAGCCTACAAAGCTATTTCAACGAAACATGGCTAAAGAAGAAAATGAAAAAGTGAAAGAAAATGACTGAAAACAGAGATATCTAGGTAATGGCAAAAGTGTATTCCTTGTCCCCACTACACTATGTTTTTCTCTGCTTATGTTCTCAATAGTGGTTGTTCAGCCTGGATACTGTTGAATGTTACAGTTTGAAATAGAAGTTCTTTAATTTTCTATTAATATAAAGTGAGGTCCAGTTACCAGTTAGTTATGGCTACTGTTGACTTGATTACATTTCGAAGCCCATACTTCTTTACTTTTATTTGAGTAAAGAAGTTTAGTCAGTACAACTTTCTACTTGAGTGATGGATGTGTGTACTTTTGCCATCTCTGCTGTATTGTTGCAAAATAAACTGTAAAGTAATTATTGTTCAATTTAACTTGCAAAATGTCAATACTTATATATTAAATAATAATAAACAATATAATTATCATTATTAAAACAATATTGATTAAATGGAGCCCATTTGCTTTGAGGGCAAACATCATTGCATTTAAATAGAGACCACTGACTGTCATAATAGTGTAAGGATCACCAAACTCAATAGGAATCTAATCACTGTGATTTCTAATCTAATATCATCCCTTCTATTACACACATTGGTAGTGGAAGTGAGCATCAATATCCACTGCCAGGCAGTAATACTGTGCTGCTGTTTCAGAGAGAAAAACCCACATGATGTCGAGCACTACTCACACACTCCTCGAAGACACATCCCCATCGTTAAGCAGACTCACACAGACAGCAGACAGTGTGTGTGTGTGTGTGTGTGTGTGTGTGTGTGTGTGTGTGTGTGTGTGTGTGTGTGTGTGTGTGTGTGTGTGTGTGTGTGTGTGTGTGTGTGTGTGTGTGTGTGTGTGTGTGTGTGTGTGTGTGTGTGTGTGTGTGTGTGTGTGTGTGTGTGTGTGTGTGTGTGTGTGTGTGTTGAGGCATGGGCCGGGCAGCAGCTCTACACTAGGCTGCCTGTGTCTGCCCCTGTGTCAGAGCTCTCTGTGAGGGCAGGTCGAAGGAGGATTAAACATGATGGTATATAAAACCATGCTCGTATCTATACAATCTATCAAATGCAAAACGGCATCAGTTTAGATGTAATTCTGTCCTTCTGCTTCCCGCATCATTTATGAGAATACATTTCATAACATTAAGACAACATATTCGAGGTGGTTTTCAATAACATATCCGTATTTATTTATTTCTCCAAGTTACGTTTTTGTGTGCACTCAAGAATCGCAAACAGGCGTTTGTTTAATCATTTTAAGATTGGCTTTAATCAATTTTTGCAAATTAATTCTTCATATAAATGAGAGGTAACATTATATTTATGGTATTATTTTCACATATTTATCTCCAGTCTTCCTTCTGCCAACGGTGTCTTAGTTTCTGATCTCTCCCGCTTTTGTGCATATGCATGGGTCAGAGTGTACGTGGAGGACCGCACATTTTCCGTCAAGTTTGTTTTTTATAAATCGCAAAGATTGCTTAGAAATTGGCGTGCGCCATCTTTTGAGCGTACGCCACGTTTATAAATGAGGCCCCAGGTGTTGTTTGCATTTTTGTCTTACAAGTTTGACTCTTTTACAGCCTACTTTCCAAAATCATTCAACTCTGTGGTTGGAAATCTTAGACTCTAAAGTGGTCTCATGCAGTTTTAATCCTCAGGCTGTTCATAACATCAACATAGAAGCTAGTCACAACAGTGATGTATGGTGCTTCACTTCAGTTGACAAGTAGCAAAGCAGAATACCCAACACACCCTGATGAGAAAATGTCACAGATGATTATTGTTACATGTGTGTTTTGTTTTCTTACAGTGTTGGTCACTGTAAGGAAGTGGACAGTGCTGCGAAGACACGGCCGGTCCCAATGTCTCCCTCTGACTTCCTGGACAAACTGATGGGCAGAACATCTGGATATGATGCCAGGATAAGACCAAATTTTAAAGGTACATACTTGGCTATCTTTGTGTCCGTCTGTATTTTCCAACAAGAACACACAGGGAAAAGTGGAGTCCATTGTGATGCATCGATCAATTTTGTAACACATAGAAGCTGATTTAGTTTTGGCAGCCACTGGTGTCCCCTCTGTCAGTTTGCTAAACAGAGACATGTTCTTAAACTTAAAGATCCCATGACATGGCCATTTCTACTGATCATAATTCCATTGTTGAGGTCTACTAGAATATATTTACATTGTTCAATGTTCCAAAATCACATTGGTTTCTCATACAGCATCTCGGTATATGTGTATTCACTCTCTGTCCTACACGGCTTGTTGGAGCTCCTGAGCTCCCCCCTCCCTGTGGGGAGACACAGCGAAACCCAGCCCGAAACCAGCCCGAGCACACACACACCCGCAGCCTTGCCGCGTTCCGCCGTCTCAGGCTGAGAAATCCGCGGAGCTGCAGCTGAGAAAAGATTGAGTGTCTGTGAGGAAGTAACGTGGACGTAACACGTACGTAACATAACATGGACGTAACATGGACGTAACACGGATGTAATGCGGACGTAACGTAACGGCTCCGCGGATTGGTCCATTTGGGTATGGTTACGTCACCATACCCAGGAAGAAAAAAATGGAAAATGAAAAATCTCTAACGAGGCGTTCTGGGGCAGCACAGTGTTAGAGTTTTACTCGCTACAGGGTGTACTTTGAGGGTTTTTGAATCTACAGACCGTTTACATGCAGAAAAAGCTACATAACACACAAGGGGACGGGTAATAACCGGAAAAGCATGTCATGGGACCTTTAATATGAAATTTGCTTAACCTTTTTAGCATATTCAAACTTAAAAATGACATGGCAACATGTCAAATTTGTCATACCATGACTGGTATTGTTCACAGAATAAGGTACTTTACCTTTCATTAAGGTCTAAGGCCAGTTATCCTCTTTATTGTTCTTGCATTACTTACAGTATATACTTTTATTGTGCTTTGAGACATTTTTAGATAATCTTTTGGTAATGTAAGCGATCTTTGCTGTCAGATTAAGCAGTGACAAACTCACTCATATATTCATACACAGTTTGAGAGCAAGCATTGTTTGGTTGGTGCTTATGGTGGAAAAACGTAAACAAATGTATAGTAGCACAAATATGAGGACATGAGATGAGATGAGTAGAAACAATGGGGCGATGCTGCTATGTCATAGAAAGGTGGTAAAACATGGTGATCGTAATATTTTTTTTAAACAACTAGAAGCCCTTTTTATGAAAGGCTGGGATGAGGTTCTTCCCCCTTTCTGCAAAGCAGCTGTGGATGCCAAAATGGGCGGAGCCGACCGGCATAATTTTGGCAGTGACATCAGCACTTTACTCCCGCCTGCTCCCGCCTAATCCTAACAAGAGCAAAGAGGTGGAGCTGAGGGCATGGCTGCTGAGACATGCCACACTGATTGACAGCAGTAGACAGAGCGAGGCAAGGTGAGCTGGCTCTGTAATATCAGGGCCGGACTCCGGCCGGGGTTGAGATTTGATCAACATATTCATTTTGATGCTTTCAAACATATTGGTGTTATACGGAAATTGTTTGCTAATATGTACATATAGTGTTTTTGAAAAAAATAACTCAAAACATCTCCCCCCTCTCTCTGCAGGTCCTCCAGTCAACGTGTCCTGTAACATTTTCATAAACAGCTTTGGCTCCATTGCTGAAACCACCATGGTAGGTAACAGAGATACTGCAAAAAACTATGATGAGTAATCATAAATATATTATAGCAGACTAAAGAGATTTTGTAAGAAGTATTTTAAGAATGTTGTACTCATTCAAAGATAGTGTTGTGAATGGCTAATATATATATATATATTTTGGGGAGGTGGCGACCCTTCAGTCCAAAGTCCGAGTCCCTACAGACTAAACAACTGCCGCGCGTAACATTAGGAAGGGTGTCTTTTATCCATCTGTGTAAAATACACTTTCGAGCAATTAGCAGGAGTTTCTCAAGATGCTAAAAAAAGAGAGGAGGGCTAAGTGGGCACCCCTGATGTACGCCCCTCGCAACAGGTTCTTTAGTTGTGACATAAGTTGTGGGATAAAGGAGGCTTCAAATACATTAGGGGCATATATACAGCCTAGGACAACTAGTTAACATACAAGTAGCCTGATAAAAGTACATAACAGCCCTCTTTATCAGTTACTGTTCTATCTACTGGGTAAAGGGCAGACAGCGATGTAGGAGAACAGCAGTTGTGAGAAGAGTAGAACACCTGGCCATCCCAGCTCCTCCTCAGTTGAATGTTTTCAAGATCAGCAAGGTGGGTTTCTTGGAGAAAGGGTGTATGACATTCATTCTTTAGGAAGGATAGGGTTTTGGCTGATACCCTTCACATTCAATGAAATAATTTTAAGATGTATGCCTTTCATACTTTGTATGACATGTGAAAGGATAGCTAAACATTTAGTAATCTTAAGGATCAAAGCATAACGTTAACACGTCAAAACGAGAAATAACACGTCAAGTGCACCTGTCAGTGAAGGTCCATCCCCAAACAACATAAAACAGAACCCATTAAAGATAAAAACAGATATCAACTTTTCAGTTGCATTATAAGTCCAGGGCCAACTTACTGCATCCACAAGATTACATTACATTACATTGCATTTAGCTGACGCTTTTATCCAAAGCGACTTACAATAAGTACATTCGACCAGGAAGACACAACCTTGAAGAAAACAGAATCATATAAGTACATCAGGTTTCATAGAGCCAAACATTTCAAGTGCTACTCAACTGGCTTTAGGTAAGCCAGTCCTTTATTAGTATAAAAGTGCTTCGTTAATAGTTCTAACGCTCGAAGTGGAGTCGAAAGAGATGAGTTTTCAGTTTGCGCCGGAAGATGTGCAAGCTATCTGCCGTCCTGATGTCAATGGGGAGCTCATTCCACCATCTTGGAGCCAGGACAGCAAACCCACGTGTTTTCGCCGATGGGAACTTGGGTCCCCCTCGCAGCGAGGGCGCAACGAGTCGTTTGGCTGATGCAGAGCGTAGTGCACGCGCTGGGGTGTACGGTTTAACCATGTCCTGGATGTAGGAAGGGCCAGATCCATTCGCAGCATGGTAAGCAAGTACCAGTGTCTTGAAGTGGATTCTAGCAGTTACCGGAAGCCAGTGAAGGGAGCGGAGGAGCGGAGTGGTGTGGGAGAATTTAGGAAGGTTGAAGACCAGATGAGCCGCTGCATTCTGGATGAGCTGCAGAGGTCGGATGGCACATGCAGGTAGACCAGCCAGGAGGGAGTTGCAGTAGTCTAGGCGTGAGATGACGAGAGCCTGGACCAGAACCTGAGTCGCTTTCTGAGTCAACTGGGGACGTATCTTCCTGATGTTGTAAAGCGTGTATCTGCAGCAACGGGTTGTAGCAGCGATGTTTGCAGTGAAGGACAGGCTGTTATCTAGGGTCACACCCAGATTCATTGCAGTCTGAGTCGGGGAAACAACTGAGGTGCCGATGTTGATTGTCAGGTCAAGAGTTGGACAATCTTTTCCCGGGAGGAAGAGCAGCTCAGTCTTGTCAAGGTTGAGCTTGAGGTGGTGAGCAGACATCCACTGAGAGATGTCAGCTAGACAAGCAGAGATGCGTGCGACGACCTGGGTCTCTGAGCGGGGAAAGGACAGAATTAATTGGGTGTCGTCAGCGTAGCAGTGGTAAGAAAAACCATGCGGGCTAATGACTGATCCGAGCGAGTTTGTGTACAGGGAGAAGAGGAGGGGACCAAGAACAGAGCCCTGAGGGACCCCCGTAGTTAATTGACAAGGGTCGGACTCAGACCCTCTCCAAGTCACCCTGTAGGTACGGTCTTTCAGGTATGAGGTGAGGAGGGAAAGTGCAGAGCCTGAAACTCCAAGTTTTTGGAGAGTGCGAAGGAGGATCTGATGATTCACCGTGTCGAATGCAGCAGACAGGTCCAACAGGATGATGACAGAGGAGAGGGATGCAGTTTTGGCAGTGTGCAGTTCCTCCGTGACAGCAATGAGAGCAGTTTCTGTGGAGTGACCTGCCTTGAAACCAGACTGGTGCGGATCCAGAAGGTTGTTCTGATTGAGATAACAGGAGAGTTGTTTAAAGACAGCGCGTTCAAGTGATTTAGACAGGAACGGGAGGAGAGAGACAGGCCTGTAGTTTATAACATCAGACGGGTTGAGAGTGGGTTTCTTTAGGAGAGGGTTTACTCTTGCCTCCTTGAGACTGTTTGGAAAGTGACCAGAAGTTAGAGAAGTGTTGATGAAATGGGTGAGAAACGGTAGAATATCAGGAGCGATAGTCTGAAGGAGGTTTGAAGGGATAGGGTCCAGAGGACAGGTGGTAGGGCGGGCAGAGGTAATGAGGGTAAGAACCTCACTTGGAGAGAGAGGGGAAAAGGAGGTTAGTGTGTTGGTGGAAGGAAGGTCTGGTGACCCAGCGGTGAGTAAAGGTGAGTCAGAAAAAGAAGAGCGAATATCATTAACCTTTTTTTCAAAGTGGGTAACAAAGTCGCTTGACAGAAGTGAGGAGGGGGGAGGAGCTTTTGGAGGGTCCAAGAGGGTGGAGAAGATGGAAAATAGTTTTTTAGGATTGGAATAGGAAGATTGGATCTTATCTTGAAAGAAAGTGCTTTTTGCCTGAGAGATCGAAGCAGAGAAAGAGGAGAGGAGAGCTTGATAGGTTAGGAGGTCGTCACGGTGTTGGATTTCCACCATTTCCGCTCTGCTGCCCTAAGGACGGTTCTATTAGCACGCAGTGCATCATTTAGCCAGGGAGCAGGAGGGGACTGACGAGCCTGCCGAGATGTGAGAGGACAGAGCGAGTCCAGAGTGGATGAGAGAGTAGAGAGGAGAGTTTCTGCAGCAGAGTTTGGAGGCAGTAGTTGGAACGAATCAGAGGAAGAGAGGGCTGAGAGCACCGACGAGGCAAAGGTAGAGGGGGAGAGGGAGCGAAGGTTACGGCGGACAAGTGTAGGATGGGAAGAGATTAGTTTGTTATGTTTGGAAAGGGATAGAGAGAATGAAATTAAGAAATGATCGGATGTGTGGAGCGGGTTTACAGAGAGGTTAGAAGTAGCGCAGTTCCTTGAGAATATGAGATCAAGGACATTGCCAGCTTTATGAGTCGGTGGGGACGGAGACAGTGAGAAAGCAAAGGCGGTTAACAGAGATGTTAGTTCGTCTATCTTCCCCATCTGGAGGTTGAAGTCTCCGAGAAGTACAGCGGGAGGGCCAGTTTCAGGGATGTGTGAGAGGAGATGATCTAATTCCTCCAAGAAGTCCCCCAAGGCGCCTGGCGGACGGTAGAGAACAACAATGGTTAACTGTATAGGATGGGTTACTGTGACGGCATGGAACTCAAAGGTGGAAGGAGTGAAGTTAGGTAGCTTGAAGAGGGAAAAGCTCCATTTGGGAGAGAGCAGGAGACCAGTGCCACCTCCTCTGCCAGTGGGTCTGGGTGTATGGGAGAAGGAATATGCAGTGGAGAGAGCTGCTGGGGTGGATGTGTTGGATGGAGTAATCCAGGTCTCAGTGAGAACAAGGAAATCCAGAGACTGCAGGGAGGCGTAGCCAGAGATGAAGTCAGCCTTGGGAACAGCTGACTGGCAGTTCCACAGGCCACCTGAAACTAGATGTTGGATCTCAGTGGAGCACGTGGGATAGACGAGAGCAGGCCGGTTATATCGATTACGAGATACACGGGGCCAGTGATAATTGCGAGAAGACACATGAACAGGAATGGAGAAAATACACATGATTATAGCATGAGGGGCTAAACAACAAAATGAAAAAATAAAAACACCAACGATACTTAGCTCAATCAAAGTAGGATTTGCCTCCTCTTTGCCTCCCTCGTGACTCCCGTAGGACTCTAATGTCTTTGTCAGTCTTAGCCTGTCTGACGCTCCAGGAAAGTGATACCTAAAATGGACGCCTGATTGCTCAGTTCTCACAGCTGTAGGGGCACGCCCCTCTAATTAGTTAACTATCTACAGCTGATGGGCGACAATAGACTGGCCCTGCCTATATTAATAATGCAGGCTTGAGTGCTGAGACCTGTAAAGCAGGTTTCGCCTGAGCAGATCTGAGATTTAAAATCTCTCAAAAGAGATTTAGCCGTTTAAGCTACAGTAACAATTATACAGAGTCGAATAAATAAACAGAAGTCTAATTAAACAAGAATATAACTTACAGTGGTTGCTGCGTCAATAGGTAATGTCGTCACCGGGTCCAGATGCACACAGATCGATATCTTCACAACTAAAAGGGGTATATGAATAACCTTTTTTTATCAAAGCAATGATACACCTGTGAGTTGGCTGTAGAAGTGTCAGAATCAATATAGATGTTGCTGTGTCAGAGTAAATTCAGATTGAACATAGTAAAAAAATGCAAATTCTAATCTCTGCCTAAAACAAACACATTATTTATAGTGAAAACCACCCTTGAATGATGGAATAGTAGCCCAGAACCTTTAGGGATCCAAACCACAATATATCATAAGTATCCTGTGTCAAGATAGATGCTAATTTAGTGAAACCTGACATTTTTTAGAGAGGTGTAGCACAGGTAGGTCCAGGCGGACTCACCTTTGTGTACATTTGGTTATCATTTGACCTTTCTCAGGTACCACACTGTAAAACTCATTTTATTTCTTTGAAATATCACTATAGGTATTCATTCCATCCAAATACAACTGTTT